TTCATCTCCTTCTTTGATCCGTACTAGATTATATGCTCCTCTTAGATCTATTTTTGTATAGATCTTAGCTTGATTTAACTGGTCAAGGAGTCCTGATATCAAAGGTAATGGATACTTGTTCTTGATTGTGATCTTGTTGAGTCCTCGATAGTCAACACACATTCGTAAAGATCCATCTTTTTTCTTTACGAATAAAATTGGAGCTCCTGCTGGAGATTTTGAATGGCGTATGAAATTCTTTGCTAAATTCTCGTCAATATATGTCTTGAGTTCAGCCAACTCATCTTGCGATAAACTGTAAATTGGTCCAAATGGTGGCAGAGTTCCTTCCTTGAGATCGATTGAACAATCGTATGGGCGATGCTCAGGAAGAATATCTGCATTCTTTTTCTCAAAAACGTCTTGATAATCCTGATATTGACTTGGAATGCCACTTGAAGTCTTTACGCTTTCAGAAATAGGTGCAGCATAAATAGCAAAAGTTGATCCTTCTTTTGCTGCGTGTATAAATGCTTTTGCACCTATAAGTGCGGGTTTTACTATACTAGACTCATGGTTTTTTACTTGATTAATAGAACTGTTACTAATGCTCCGAGGAAAATCAAGTTTACGAGAAATCCAATCTATTCGAGGATTATACTTTTCTAACCATGATAAGCCTAAAATAACTGGATTAGAGGGAGATCTAATTATATTAAAAATTACGCAACTACTATGACCATTTATTACTACATCTACAGGAAGTGTTTCGTGAGTTACATCTCCAGAAGACAACGGACGACCATCTATGACTTCTACGTGTACAGGTTTAGTTTTTTATATTAATGATATTCTATGACATCTAGCAAATTCTTCATCTAAAAAACAAGATGAGGCTCCTGAATCTATCAAGGCAGAGGCTCTGTAATTATTAGGTCCTAAACGCACATCTATTATAAAACAAGGAGATGGTTCTGAGGAGAGGATAGGACCTTCATTAGAAGTTGTACAAGATTCCAGCCGCACGGTCCCTATTGTAGCTGGACGTACTCGTTTTCTGACATACTGTCTTCTTTGACAGCCGTACTCCTCATTTTGTAGTTGCGTCGCTTCTTTGGACAATGTTGAGCAGTGTGCTTAGGTTCTCCACAATATAAGCACAATCCTTCTTGTCGATGACGAGACTTTTCTTGCTCAGTAAGAGGTTTGAAACGTACCGCATCAATTTGCATATCCTCTACTTCTGAAGGTATGTGTTGAGGAGACGTCGGTGTTGCCATTGAATTGTAGTAACGTTGAGGCCCACTTGTGCGACTCTCGGATCGAAATTCAAAAAGTCGATTGTCGCACTTCACAGCAAAGTCAATTGCTTGACTCAATGTTTGAGGATCAAGTAAATTAAGCATCAATTTCTTTACCTCATATTGTAATCCGTAGAGAAATTGACTCACAAGTGCGGCATCATCCCACTTGATATCAGTTGCAAGTTGTCAAAATTGTGAAGCATATAATGTTACTGATCGATTGCCTTGTCGCAAAATACGGATCTTGTTGGTTGCAACACGAATTGCATCATGTTCTCCAAACATGGATCGAAACTCCGCCAAAAAAGCCTCCAGATTATCCAATATTGGATCTCGTCGTTCAAGAAAAGATGAAAACCATGACAATGCTGAACCTGAAAGAAGTGTACCAATGAATCTAACTTGTGACCCTGGAGTTGGATAGCTCTGGGGTTGAAGTTCAATCACTAGTTGGACCTGATTGATGAATCCTCGAAACTTGGATCTGGTACCATCAAACTTCTCAGGCAAGGCAACTCTCGGTTCTCTAACACTCGAAGGGTGTTCCATTCTGGGAGAAGGGACATGGTTTGGTGCAGATGTTGAAGCAGCCCCAATCATCTCTATATCTTCACTTCCTACCATTCTTGTTGCTCCTTGTGGTGGTAAATTGAGTTGATGCATCGCAAGCATTAACTCCCTCAATTGTTCTTGCATCTGTGCCATTGCACTCTTCATTTCAACAAGCTCTGCCATAGTAGCACTTAGAAAAGAGAAGATGTCTAATAACGCTCAAAATAGAAGAGAGGAATTGATAACAAAGAAAATACTAAGAACAATATCAGTTTAAAAGAGGGTAATCCGCAACTTCTAATGCGCTTATGTCTTATCAAGAAAAAGGGGTAATCCACTCTTAATCAAGAAAAGACAAAGCTCTGATATTGTAAGTGTACTCTTGTCAATCTGTCAAGGACAAGAACTCGATGAAAGCTAAAGAGTAAGTGAGACTTTTCTCAAAAAGAAATAGGACAAAATAGAAATATGTATATTAAGAAAGAAACTGGAATGGCTATTGCCAAAATACAAGAAAACTAGAGACCCTTGAAACTAGACTAGAAGCAAGAAAGGAGTTGACAAGAGTGAAGAGGGCTTCACTCTTGCCTCTATATATACTATCTAACTAGAAGCCACGTGGCGATGTTCTATAAGACCTCCAATATATGTTGACTTTCTAGGCCACATGCCTTTGCTTGCAAGGCAAGTTTTCTATGGATGGACCACGTAGTTAGCTTGTTCTTTAAGCTTCCAACATGTGTGGCACATGGCTAACTTGTTGACCAAGTTTCTAACCTAAAAGTCAACTATAGACTCCTATAAAGTCAAAGCAGCGTCTATGAAGCTTCTAAGAAGCTTCTCTAGAAGATATTACACAATTAACCTACTTTTATCTACTTTTACATACTTTTATCTATTCATATAGGTAATTATATGTATGTCCGTGACAGACTCACAAGCAAATTTGAGTGAACTTGAGTAAAGTTGAGCTACAAAGTAAGAGCAAGGTAATGAAATTATTTTGAATTGAATTTCTTGCTCTTTTTTAAACAAATAATTAGGATTTTTTAAAAAAAATATTGCAATAGATGGAGGTAGCTATGATTATAACAACAATGAAGATTAGGTAATCATAATGAATGTGTTTGGTTTTCATTGGTTGGAGATTTAGTAATAGAAAAATGAAAATAAAAGTCATTATTTTTTCATGATTGTGATGATAGGTGGATTGCTCTAATAAAAGGCTAGATCTATTCCATATTTATGTTAAAATAATATTTAAATATTTTTAATAAATATTGATTTTTATAATATTAAATATTTATTTAAAATATAATTTAATTAATTAATTAATTGTAAGAATTAACTTTATTTTTTATAAAGAAATTATTTAGATGCTATTTATAAATTTTAATTTTATACTTAAGGTTGTAACATCTTTTCAATTATTAGATTTAATGATTATTTAAATTTTAATATAAAATATTTTATCATTTTTTATTTTAAATGTGTTTTATATTATTATTTTCTATTGTAGTTGTGAGGTGTTGATATGTTGTCATTGTAGGTAGTTCATCAAACTATTCTATTGTTGATAAAAACAAACATGTTATAAATAAGTTTTATAGTTTAAAGTAAATTTTATGTGCACTATGATATATAAATACATAAATTAACAAGAAATGTATTCAAGATGCAAACAATAGAAAATTAAATAAATACAAATACTTATAGCTTTTATTGTCTTTAAAATAAAAATATTTAAGAATAATATTTTTTATTAAAATTATATATTACAAAATGATCATTCAATAATTAAAATATTTTAGATTTTTATATAACATCAAATGCTACATTTTATACTTATAAGTATGATTTTGACCATAGAAGAAGTAATTTTCAACAAGTTACAAAAGACCTACGACATATATATAGAAAATAGACATAAAACATCCATTTTGTGTCTATATATTCTACTCTTTATAAAAAAGGTTAAATTTTATTGTATTAATATTTATATCAAACCACTTTTATTTATTGCCTACTTTTAATTTTTGTGATATTGCTTACTAAAAATTAATATCTATTATATCCAAAGAATATACATAATTACACTAATGTGATACATGAAATAATCTAAATAAAATATTTGATGATGTATGGTGAAAAGAAATTATTTATCTTTATTAATTATAATTTTTACATTATAAGCTAATTGTGGTCTTTGTATTGGGCAAGGTAATATCTAAAGTGTATTTTTAATTATAGTACTTATGAAATATAAACTATGTAATATAAAAAAATGTGATATCTATCTATATCTATATATATATATATATGTGTGTGTGTATATATATATATATGGATATATGTATGTATGTATATATGTATGTCTTTTTTTAAAATATAATCACATCTATTTTTAATACTAGGTACTAAAAAATTCAATGTGATTGGAAGAAGATTTAATAATGTCATTTCACAACAATTTAAATTTCGATTTGATTTAATATATATTTGAATGTTATAAAAAGAAAAGAATGCTAGTATGATAGAAGATATAATTATTGAAAGTAGAAGACATTCTTTTAAAAAATGCTTATTATGAAACTCCGTAATGTGTCTATGTATAGTAATATAGTCCATCAATAGTTAAAATACCCTGAAAAGAATATAACACAACTTTATTTAATTATTTGTTTACCTTATTATCATAAATTAACAGTGGTCTTTGTAATAAATTTCTACATGGATGATTGGTATCTTTGTTCAATCTTTTTAAATGAATTTCATGTTTTAATTTCTTTAAGCATTAATATTTGTCTAACTTTTACTTTTGTAATTTTTTTTGTTTGATGCCTTTTACTTATAAATTTTAAAACCAGCCAACTGTTCATTTTCATAGCCCACAAAAGCAAGATAACAAAATCACCTTATCTTGGATGTCCACAAAGCATAAAGATAAAAGTCTCTGAAATGCCACATTCACACATATTAATAAACATTAAAACCCCAGATCAGGTATAATTTTAAGAAACCTGTCGCAAGCAACCCTTTTACTATTGACCAACAACAACCACATTAGTTGCACTTCAGTTGCAAATTTAAGCTGAAACTACAGAATTAGCAATAGCAAAGTGGAGTCCACTCATTTATTATTACTAACCCACATGAACGTTGTTCTCTTTTCACACTTTGGCATCGAAAATGGCCACAAATTTAACAACGGAGAAAATATTATTTATGTTGCCATCACGTCCTCCTTTGCCAGCTTCTCACGTTCTCAGTGTTGTGCTGTGTTTTGTTGTGTGTGTGTGTGTGTTTCTTGAGAGCTGGTTTTGTTTTTGAGAGTTGTGAGTATGTGTGTGTGCGTGTGTTTTTCTGTTTTGCTTTATTTTTGAGAGGTGTGTGTGTGTGTGTGTGCGCGCGCGTGTGTTTTTCTGTTTTGTTTTGTTTTTGAGAGGTGTGTGTGTGTGTGTGTGTTTTCTTTTGTTTTGTTTTTGTTGTCGTTGATTTTGTTGTTGCATTGGCATCATGGATCGCATTTCCTCGGCGTCTTCATCCGTGCACAGCGGTGATGCTGCTGCTGCCCCAAGCTGCCACAAGCGCAGTAGGAAGGCTGGCATTTATGCTGATCACAGCCAAGGTAACACAGACTGGTGATCCCCACCCCTCCTCATGGTCGCAGAATGTGCTTTGAATTCTCACTCTCTGCCTCGGAAGGGACGCACACTGTTGTTGTTGTTGTTGTTGTTGTTGTGTTGCATGGCTCGTGTTTCTCGCAATGTGGATGGCTAATTTGTGCTCTGAAGTGTGGACTCGGTGTTGCTGTGGGTTATATTCAGTCTGCCGTCTGTGAACGCTGTTTGGTCAAGTTAGAGTTTGACTTGGTTTCGTGTTTCTTCTAATATGACAAAGTGCAGGTGGTGTTGTTTGCCATCTGTTGTGTAATTCACGTCTTGGTTTTATTTTTTGTTTGTTTGTTTGTTTGTGTGTTTGTTTTTACATTGTTTTTTTTTTTTTTTTTTTTTTAATGTTTTTTCGCTTTTGTGGTTGGTAATATAAAGTGAGTTTCGAAAAAGGAGGTTTGTTTTCAAATTAAGTGGGTTGGACAGGTATACAACTTATGCAAAACTGGTTCTGGAACTTCATTTGACTTAAATGAATTTGACAGATCCATCGACCTGGTCGATTTCACAAACTTTTTCACATTTCACTGTGCTTCTTTGTGAGTGAATATGAGAGAGTGCTTGAGATTGAACCTGTTTTGCCAGGAGATGAATAACACTCTCTTCATTTTTTGTTTTAATTTTTTTTTTTTTTTTTTTTTTTTTTTGTGTGCTGTTGTCTAAGCTCTTTCAGCATCGATATACTTCTGTAAGTGCTGCTTCAGAAGGATCATGATATCTAGAGGCGAATTGTGGTATTACTTACGGATGTTGGGTTTTCTTTTCTTTTTTCTAGTTCTTTTTCCCCACAACAAATTGAGCTCGCATGTAATGTGGATTGCAGGAAGAAAGCCACCACCATCTGTGCCGACTATATTGTTTGACTGGAACGGGGTCGGAGGTGTGGCTCAAAATACAAAGCTCGGAGAGAACGGAGACAAAAAATTCAAGTGCAGATTTTGCCCTAAATCTTACTCAAAGTCACAAGCCTTGGGGGGCCACATGAATGGTCACCACGAAGGTGTATTCTCGTTAGTTTCATCAAAGTCTTGGGAATCGTATTGAATATGATATATGCTTGTTAACATCGCGGTGTCCTTATTCTCTTTCTAACTTTTCCAATGTTTGCCATTCTAGCGAGAGACTTAGAAAAGTGGAAGGAATATGAAAGACTTTGCCACAAGTATCCAGCCGCCACCACAAACTCAAGGTATGTAAATAATCGCTATTGCACTCACGTAACCAAGCTGGAGCTGCAGGCAACTAGTTGAACTTTTCTTCAGCACATAGTGAGTTTGTGTCCAACTGCCAACAAGTTTTTCCTGGTGAGACTATGGTTGTTGATCATTCTTACGACTGATCGTTTTCAAAGTACGATTAGAAGTGCAACACGAATAAAGTCCTTACTTAATATGCTAATAATGCTGATGATGTCTACATTCTAGCAGGCAAGGAATATCTTCTTGGGACCCTTTTCCTCAGATGCAGATACACCATTTGTTGTGTGGGGCCTCCGCTGTAACGCAGCAAGCTTTGCGTAAAGAAGCAATTGTATGTGTCACTTCAAGCTTCTTTTCTTTTTTCCTTTTTGTCTTCCTTTTTTTTTCCTGCTTAAACTGAAAGTGCATGAATTCTACCCTCAGTAATTCGAGGTTGTAGCGCAGGCTGGAGTTTCAGGGGTGCAGAGCGTTGGTGTGCTAGGACAGCAACAAATTCACAAACCAGAACAATCGTGGTCCAACATGAAAACGCCTCGACACCAAAATCAACCCCAATTGACACACCAATCACAAGGCCAACAAAACCATCGCAGCTCACTGCATCTGGAACCGTGGCAATACGGCACTTCGGTGGGAGGAGGTGGTCATCTGCCAAACAATGCGTTTCAAAACATACCCCACAATCCCACGGCTCTTGGCCTTGAAGCTGTGGATGTCAACTTCCAGCAGAAGGCGTCGATGCAGGTGATGTTTGGACTTAGCCTTGGTGCTCCGACAACAATGGAAGCCCCCAGCTCGTCCAGATTCCCACCCCACCAGATGCTGAATCCAGGCCTCATGGGCTCTGAGTATGTGTTTGATGCGGGTCATGGCAATAACACAAGCTCTGCAGTCACGTCACACTCTCGTGTAAACTGTGCGAATCCACAATCCTTCCAGCAAGTGATGCATAGCTCCTCCCCACGTGCAATTACGTATCCTCCAAACCCTGGAGTGGTTTCTTCCCTCCGATCAATACCTGTACAAATTGCACAAGACGCTCCCCCCTTCCCCCAACCAGCATTCGACTGCACAACATCGAATCTCATTCCACCGACTAGTCTCCGGCATCTAGTGACGCGAGTGCCCAGTGGTGATATTCCAGTCCAAGTGCCGCAACAGCCACTGGAGGACGAGAGGGACACCAGTTTGCAAGGCATTCAAACGACGTTCAGCTCCGAGCAGTCAATGGGGGTTGAGATAATTCCCAATCTTCCAGAACCAGCATCCAACTCCGACAAATTCGACGATTCATTCAATTGGTTTGAATGTTACGGATTAGAGGGACAGGGAGGGTTGGAGGAGACCATTCATGAAAAGCCATGGTTTAGAACCCCAAAATAGGGTGAGATGTCATATAGATTGGAGTGCTACTCCTTTGTACACATTCAGAAATAATAACGTGACCTACGCTGGCTGGGTAGCAAAGCAGGTACCCTGAACGAGCTTGCATGAGAAAAGCACTTCTAGAGTTTGGCTCGCACCGAGTCTGAGAAATGTCGCTCTTCAAGCTGGCGTAGTTGACGAGTGAACCTATTGCTGTTCAGGATAATAAATTTCCTTACCTAGCTGTATTACACTTGTTAGCACCAAAAACAAACCTACACGAAAGTGACGATGTAGTGATTTCTGAAGTATCCTGAAGAGATAGGGAAAAGCATTCCCAAGAGGAGCCACTGATGGTCTCTCTCTGTACTAGCTAATTTCATGTGAGAATGTCATGTGGCCGCTGAAAAATGTGTTGCGATACCCTATGCTCCAATTGAATAATAGGCTCATGTCTTTCACGGACCTCCCTAAGATTCTCCAAGCTTTTTCTTCGTCTTCCTTGTTAGTTGAGTAAGTTTTCTTGGCTCGTTTGTCGACCTTTCATTACACTGCCCGCCTCTTCAAGTCCAGCGTGAGGGGCTTTGCTCCACTTCGCCGTTTCCAAAGCAGAACCTCATCACTTCCACCTCTCGTATTGTTACACACCGCTGCAGGCGGTCTTGAGGCTATGCATTTAGTTTCCTCGTTACATTTGATTTCACTCGGTTTCGTCTTGGAAGCGCTCACATCACTCACACCAGGAGATTCATCTCGCGCCGAGTCGCACTCCAGCTGCAGCATCATGAGGGACTTGGCCAAGAAGGTGCCGGTCTGTGTCCTGCTGGACTTCATGTCCAAGGTGGGTGCCGTCTTGGCAATGCTGGAGCAGGCTGAACTGAACCTGTTGAGATCTACGTGAAACTCGTTCTCGTTCCGGCTTTGCACGCTGGGGTTTAACATTCCTCTTGGACCGAGGAATTGTCGCCATCTGGATGGCTTCGGAGAGGAGGGCGCGGACGCGCTCTCGAATCTCTGAGGCTTCTCTCGCATTGATTTCAAACTCCGCAGGTCTGGCGCTGCCTCTGCAGCGTTCGTTGGCGTTTTGGGCGGTGTTTTAGGTGGTGTCTTCGACTTGTCTTTCTTCACCTGCGCCACGAGTATCATACATAGATTCATTCTCGTAGCCATGGGTACGTTCGGGATCGAGAATTCAGAGCACCGTGTCTCATAGCCCTAACTTGTCCATGTCCGCAGCGAAACGGATTCGAACCGCACAAGAAAAACCCTTTTCTGCGATGGGAAGGAGAAAACCGATAAGGAGGAATAGTAGAATACCTGTCCGATACAAGTGACAACAGGTGACGTTGGATCGTCGCCACTGTCGTGGTCGGCAGCGCCGTCGAGGAAGCCACCCCGTGGCAAAGAGTTCAAAGGCTGCACTGTCGATGCTCCTTGTTTCTGTCCCCCAATACTCACCATAGCTGGATGCACTATCTGCAAAATCACACCACTACCACATTTCACTACAAAGTCCGCCACAGCACGTGGGGCTAAACCTCGTATTTACTGCAGAAATCTCACCCCGGCGACCCTAATGGAAGGCTAGTAGGAAAAATTTCTCATGTTGGGTTCGTTTCTAAGAAATCCGAAACCCTTCACAATTCATAAACAAACATCCTCACACAGAAACGCAAATTTCCAGCTCAAGATATCACAAGCACCGATAGCTGAGGGTAACGGACCAGATTAATGGCACCAGCTCGGAAACACGCAAGCATATGAGCTCCGCCACTGGAGCAGTTCATCCTTTCCCTCCCCCTTGCACCCTCAAACTCGCCAGCTGCAGCAGAACCCTTCACCTTCCTGTTCTCCGTGTAGGAAAAATTTCCTTTGCTGTTGTACGAGGTCCCCGGCTGCTCCACCTCCTCCGACCACTCATGGTGACCGTGATCCAACGTCTCAGCCGGAAGTAAACAAGTGAAGTTCCGCAGCCCCAACCTCGTCATGATCTCCAAAATTCTCCTCCTCCCTCGAAAGGATGCAACGATTATCCAAACCGTGGTGGCAAAAAGCATCGAACGGGGAATCCCTTCACTGTTTAGTCCAGTGACCAACACGACTCCATTGCTGAGCGTGTATGCATCTCACCAGAAAGCACGTCCTAACGTCAACGACCGCACGTCGAAGGTCTGATGGATCACGTTTCGCTTAGAAACCGCCAACGCATCACTGGCCTTCAAATAGATGTTCAGTCTGACCGAATCCGCCCCGCAATTTGACAGGTATCAAAATCAGACCACGACATAATTCTTGACTTAGAGTTAATGCGACGATCTCCAGCACATCATCACAGGCGCCCTCCTGGCCACCCTTCCTCTACCCTTTGCAAGCTTTCCAAAACTTTACCAACAACACGTTACGACCACTAACGCCGCGCCAGCAAGCAAGCAAGCAGCTCACAACGCAGCAGAACCAGGAGGAGGAGGAGGAAGAAGAAGAGAAGGCGGGTCAGGAGTAGAAGTACTTCACGCAGAGACTAGAGAATGATCACACGCAGGCTGGCCCGACAGAAAGCTGGATTGCTGCACATGGGACGCAAGACGAATGGGTAGATGCATTAACACTCTTACAAGGCTTACCCCGTGGCCTGCAATCTCTGCACATGCCGATTAATTCAAGGATGGGGATCCGTGGCATCCCCTCCAAGGGTCACCCCATAGTTTCAACCCCAACTAGTAGTCGCAGTCAAAAGATCGTTGCCAGCCCCCAGTCGCCCCTTCCACGAGTGACTGTGATACTCACGGTACGCTGCGGAATCTTCACAACCCCGAGGTGACGAGCTGATTAGCTTAACCCAACCCAACTCAACCCAACCCCGCAAGTGCAACCCGACTTCGCAGTGGTGTTAATCTCGAGGCTATGGAGGCTGCCGCTGCTGCTGCCACTGCTGGCTGGCTGCTGCTCCTGCTGCTGTGATGCAAGCTTGCCGCACGCTTGGCGCAGGGAGTTGGCGCGCCTTCCCATCTTTGACTCCCACTTTTGGTTTTGCTAATGTGCGAGGTTAGTCTTCACTCGAGTAGCTTGATGATGGAGGCACCGTGTGATTAAGCCGACGTGCGATGAGATTAGTGCTAAATTAGGATCCCATGACAGTTTCCCGATAAGACTCCAGATCCCACACACTTGCATCAGTGGCTCCGTGTTGACCTCCTCCCCCCCCCTCGCCGCGCCGCTTGCAGATTCTTCCCATCACCGCTGCAATTATAAAAATTGCGGTTTTGATTAGCAGAATCCAAACTGGAGTTCACTCATTCTCCACCGATGCTGGCTTCATTCTCCTCTCAGGATTTCCTTTATTCTGTTCTGTACCCCAAATTGCCATGCTTCATTCATCAAGGTGACATGTGGGTGATTATGTTGATTAGATATTGTGTGTGTGTGTGTGTGTTTGTGGGTATTGGTTTTATGAGTTTTAATATGGGTTACATGAGGTGGTGTGGTGCCTTTTCCTTAGGGTAGGAACGTTGCTTGGCCTTTCCTTATTCACTACATTGATGTTAAAGTTGGAGTTGGTCTGTGGGTCTTTGTCAAAAAGTCTTGGTCAAAGTTTGAATGAACAATAAAACATATATATATATATATATATATATGTATTTGTGTGTGTGTGTGTGGATATTCTTTAGTGCCCCTTGTAGATATGAATGCACAGAAAAGAAGGGTTATCATAGAGTTTCAAAGCGTTGAGAAAGCACATGATTTGTGTTCTCATTTTTCTCAAGTCAGCTTTCAACTACTGAATTATCCCTCAGAGCATGCAAATAGTCAATTTGGAATAGGATCTACATTTTCCATGAAATCTCTCAAAGACTTCTCGTCGACCAACATCATCATCACCAAACAGTGCCGCACTTTATACATGACTAGATGTTGAAAAATATGAGAGTTTTCTAAAACTCGGAGCAGTGAATTCTCACGCACATCAATAAATTATATTTTGTATACACATGCAATAAAAACTCACTGCAAGTTGGAGCTACAATGAAGCACGAGGCTAAACCAATGTTGACTATGGTATGGGGCCACACAAGATGGATGCTTAGATTTAAAAAAACAGGAGAGTTTTCTCAAACTTGTAACTACAAGTCTATGATCTATAACATGTTTGTATATACATGTGATCATGATGTGTGAAAGAATATTTTTATATGCCCATATATGATCTTGACCAATTTTTAGTATGAAAATGTGGCAAACCAGCATCAGAGACAATTAAACAGGCTCAGGCAATGGCCAAATGATGTAGGGGCAAATTAGGGTTTTGAATAAATGTATGGTGTGCGTTTGAGCTTGTTCGAGTTATGGAGTCTTTCTCTCAACATCAAATCTTTTTAATTCTACTTCCAAAGCCAATGCCACAGTAAAAAAAAAAAAAAAAAAAAAAAAAAATCGCTTTATTACTAGTGTTGAATCAATAATACAGGCCAGATCCAAGGGATTATTTTCACATGTTTTTTTTAAATGCTCAAGAGAGTTTTTCCTCATGAATACGTCGCTAGTTCTTTCAAATTCATATAAAAATTCATTCAAGGAATGCATAAATTACAACTTAGAAATTTGTAAGTTGCAATGTTTGTAGAGAAATTGGCAATACCCATTGTTTTTGAGAAAAAAGAAACACCTTTTAAATGAATGATTGAAACTAGTTGGCAATGTGCTCTTAGATACTTTCTTCTTGTTATCCTTTTTTTTTTTTTTTTTTTTCTGTTTTTTAAAGAGGCATTTAACAAACGTTGCCAAAAGTTCACTACACATTCATGGACAAGACAAAATCCAGATAAGAGTATTAAAACATATATTCCTCTAATTATATCATATACAACGTTAAGGAAATGTAGCTTTTAGTGAGAAAGAATGGAATCTCTACAGCCTTCAGGGTTTGAAAGTAAAGAGATGCCTAAATTGGCTTTTGAGGTCTTTCATTTGCCAAATGGCAGAGACCTGCTGAAATCATTTAGTGCGAAGACAACAGAGAGATGTCATAATAAATAAATAAATAAATAATTAAAGACACAGAAAAAACAAGAAAGAAAAAAAGAATGCAATGTACCCACTTGTGATATTTCCTTGGCTCTTTTGTAGAAGGGAACTATGTCAGAGGATGATGCCGTGGTAATGGGGTTTTAAAAGCTTTTTTTATTATTCCTTTATTTATACACTGTTGGCGTCAGTTTTTTTTTTTTATGGCAATTTGTCTAATTTGGAAGCTTTTTCCTTTATCAATGTGATAATTGATTCTTAATAATCTCGTTTTCATTGTCCCTTTTGTTAAAGTAACATTCTAGTATGGAAGTTACTCCGTACTTTTTGTTTGAACACAAACTTATTTCTTTGAATCCAAATAGTCCATAAGCAAAGCCCACAAAGTAGCAACTATATTTTCCAAAAACATTTGGATCTAAGAAAGATCTTAGTTGCAAATATGGCATATTTCTATGAGAAGGTCTTCTATGGACACTATTATCAAGGATTTGAAGTCAATTTGTATAGGAGAGGGATAGACCGATCTCAAATTTTGCAAGCTTGTAAACACTCCTAGAATTGATGTATGATAGATTGAGGCTTGTTAAGAGGGCATACAACATACTAAATGCCAATGATAGGATTGACTTTGCATCTCTATGTGTTGATTGCTACTCTTTTATGCCAAATAAATGTTGCTACTTTGGAAGAGGAGGGTTGGAATCAAACGACATTCTAATTAAATTGAAAATTAAAATCTCATAAAGAATTTTATTTGTGTGTCAATGTATTAGTGTTGGGCAAATTCTTTTGCAAAAGTTGTCATTCTAACTTGGCCAAATAGGTTAATAATTCTTCTTTTGACGTCCAAAAATAAGGATTGGGTAAAAGAAAAGTTTTTTTTTTTTTTTTTTTTTTTTTTTTTTTCTTGGATGATATACACACATAGTTTCGATAATTGTTTTGTTTTTTGTTTTTGACACTAAAATGTAGTATACCTAATGCTTGGGTTGAGTGGCAAAGTTATATTAGACACTTTAGCATGTAAAATCCAAGAGAGAGGAAATACAAAATTGCATGAAGTAATTGTGATGTTTCAATTGAATTTTGAAAACAGGATTTTAAAAAATAATCCTAAATTTTACTATATGAGGATTATAAAGTTAAAAGACTTACATAATTTACATAGCCTTAAACCTTTATGAATATTTTAAATGTATATAGAATTTTGCATCTATACTAAAAAAATTGTGCTATCAACAACATACAGTCCTATTGGCTATTAAAACATTTTGATATTTCAGTATTACTTGGTAACTGTTAAAAATAATTTCTATCCAAAGTCCCTTCAAAAAAAGAATCCTTTTATACAATGATATTTCTCAGGTCATTCTACACATAAAAATTCTCACTTAAAATAAATACCAAGAATTTGGCACTGTATTCTATTTTGGACTATTTAATCATCTTAAAAGGAATCTTAAAATACAGTTTATTAAGATTGGGTCCATCTAACTTTTAGAGATATATATTATGTTTTTTTATATTTTTAGATTTATTCATAATTAAATGACAACAATACTTTAGAAAGAAAGGAAAATATCAAAAATCGTACTATATATATATATATATATTTATCTATCTATATATTTATGTATATAAACTTCTTGACCCTTGATTTCCGAAATACTTTTATAAATTTAAAATTATATCAACATAAAACACACACTATCGATTAAAGAATAAATTAAACTTGTTCAATTTCATGACATAATTCATGCTTTTTTAAGAACATGTTAATAGATAAATTCGTCAAAGATTTTTTTAGTATTATCAATCAAAATGTTTTCTTCTTATTTTATAATTCAAAATTTTTAATATTGCATAAACTGATTAGTTTTATTAATTTGCAATTAACTTAGTTTATTGTTACCAAAAATTTGATTGCAATAAAATTTATAAGTGATAGAGTTTTTTTTCAAATTGTAGACACTATTACTAATTTTACCACTTTCGTTTAGTGTCTTAAATTTTAAGATATAAAGTTTCTTTTTTTAAAACAACAGTTCTACATGAAAATTTGTAGAGTATAAACATTAATTTTATATTTATCCTCAATTTTAACATGTATTTCAGGTGTATGTTTCCTTTTCTGAATGTAAAAATAATAAAAAAAAACATAAATCCCTAATTTTGAAATTCATTTAATAAAAAAAATCTTACAAAAAAAAAAGATATCCCCAAAACAAATAAAGCATCAACTCCAAGTAGTTTTTATTATAAAATGACATGGTTCAAAATTTTGGATCAAGCTCAATATTTTGAGCAGTGTATATACAAACATATGCATTTTTGTGTTACTCTTGCTTGTCTTTGTTTTGGTTTGATTTTTGATTTTTTAAATAATTAATTTACTTCTTGATAGTCCATTCTTCTCCATTAATTATTACCACCACCACTACTACTACTCTATATATATGTACATATACATTTTTCATAGACTATTCATGATTTATTCATTGTACATATGGTTTGTGGTAGTGATGTGACCAAGACATGAAACATTGACAAACACCACACAGGACACACACAAACAAAAAAGCACGGCCATTGAATGCGCACACATGATTCCAATGGTGGACTATGCCCAAAGTAAACAATGGGGGGTTGAAAGTGGAAAATAAAATAGTAAAGCCATTAAATAGTCTATCCCACACCCCTAATCCCCCACGCACACCTGGCACTCCCCCTTCTTCACTCAATACCGTGCGACCGCCCTCCGAACCCGAAGACCGAGCGCCGTCGAGACGTAATACCGTGGACGGGAGAGTGGCTCCGACAGGGCTGAGGTCGCCGACGGGGAGGAGGCCCTGATCATCTGCAGCAGCAGCAGGGCCAGGATTGAATGAATTGCGCTGCAGAGAGAGAGAGCGAGAGAGAGCACACGCGAGGTGCGGGAGTGGGGATGGTTGCGCAAGGCTACATTCTGCCGTTAATTGTCGATAGAAGGCAATGAGGGCGCTCAGAACGGAGCAAAACCCCGAGGGACCGCACAATTTTGCCGTAGGAAACGATGTGGCGATGACGAGGGTGTGAGTCTTTCTACTGTAAGCGCGCCGTACCGTCAGTACTGCAATTCTTCTGTATTCTGCTAATTGGGTTTGACCCCCCCCCCTCCGTATTGCTGTCGAGGCATTGGTGTTTAGGGTTTTCTGGGTCTGTGTGGTGGGTTGAAACCTAGTGGCCTGATTGTCATGAATTGGTTTGGTCACTGATTGGTTCGAATTTGTGGATTTGTGTTTGGTTAAGGTCTTTGGGGTTTTTTTTTTCCTTTAATCAGAATTGAATCAACAGATTGTGAATTGTCATCTTCTGCTGATGATTGTAGTTGTATTGAGGCGAAGCTTGAGTTGTTTTCGAGAGGTCGTGATGATGGGCTAAGCCAGGGATAGCTTGGTAGTAAGGACTGTTGCAGCAGATGCTTTAGTTCGATTGTTTAAGGTGCTGCGCGAAGGGTTCCTTTGTTCGGAAAGTATGACGATCGCCATTGCATTTTTTTTTTTTTTTTCTTGTTTTTTTTCTCATTCTTGCCCCATTTCTTGTAACTTGAATTTGGAGGCAGAGATTCTGAGGGTAGAGGTGAGGGTTATTGTGTGGTCACATTGGTAATCCAACTTCTGGGGTGTGAAATTCAGGTCTGCTCAAGGTTGCAGAAGGATAGAGTTGAGGTGGGATCTGTGTGCAGTAAAGGCGAAGAACTCTTCTGTTGTCGTTTTGAATTCATGCACTGGGAGGCGGAAATGTTAAGTTTTAAAGATCATGCCGTCTGATGTGTTGATGAATCGTCACATGGCCAAGCTGGGCATGGCACCGCAATCTGTGTCATGGTCAGACGGCTCGCTTACGATTGACGACGTGGCCAAGTTTTTCTCTTTTCCCATTGCTGAGGCTGCCCAAAAGCTTAGTGAGTAGCTTGACCTAATTCACCTTTGGTCAAATGAAATGAATGTTTGCCTGCCGAGGAAGGATGGGAATGTCAATCTTTCAGAGGGTTTGTTGTGTTTATTATCCTGCCATGTCTCAGTCATTTTGTTCTAGATTCTCGTGCATTGTTCAATCTGTCTTTTGCGTCTTTGCAAGGTTTTCAGATGGCCATCCGTCAGAAGTTGATGTTTGAATGTTAATTCCTTAGGAGAAGACATGAGTATCTCAGTCAGGTCAAGGAACCGTGCATTGCGAACTTAATTCGTGCACAAAACTTTGGTAAGATCAAATTTTAGGAACACGGTAACGATATTAAATCATGAAATTTGTGCGGAGGAGTGTCACGTTGTCATCGTTTACTTTAGTGCTGAAATTCTTTTGATACTCTGAGACAATTACATATGATAGTCTACATGAAAATAGTGGTTCTCTTCTTTTTTGCGATTTGTTCTTACAATAGTTACCTACGTTACGAGCTTGCGTTTATTTTAGTAGATAAGTCAGGGCGTGAAAGAGGAATTTTTGATAACCTTTTTATTGGTCATGTGCCAGATGTATGTGGGAGCGTTCTTCAGCGCATCTGCAAGGAAAATGGCATTGCTCGGTGGCCTTACCGCAAGGTAAAGTCCTGTAAAGTATGCCACTACATAATGTTAACACATTGTGTGCTCTGGAAGAAACTTGTGGGTTGAGCATATCCCGCTCTTAGGAGGTGCTTCTATTGTGTTGAAATCACTTAGAAGATTGTTGTCGGCACGTCAGGTTATGGCAGGCAAGTCAATAGAAGAAATCAAAGAGGAGGGTCTCAAGGAATTGGCAGCCAACCCTAGTGCATACAAAGTTTTAGATAAGCAGCCGACATCTTCTTTGGAAAATATTTCAGGAACGCCTGTTCCTACTCCTGCTTCCATTCCCGTCTCAACCTCTCCAATGTAAGTCTACGGTTCCTGTTCTCATTATTCTGTCATGGGTGAAAATCTATTTTTAATATCATAATTAATTGTTTCATGAATCTACTCCTTTTTCAAATTTTCTGGATTGAGTACTCGCTTGTTGAGCCTGATCTGATGTACTGTTTCTCTGTTGGAGGTGTTAGAGGCTATCCTCGCTGCTGCATCTTTGCTGTCGAGTCTTAGTTTTTTTCAAATTCATGTTTCGAATTCACTTTGACAGTGGAATGTGTCCTGCAGTGGGTCAAACCCAACTATGACTGTGGGACAAACTGACCCTAAACGACCGGCACAGCAGGCAGGTGGAGCATCAGTACAACGTGCACAAGTGCAGAAGTCTGCACAAAAGATTGCGTCAGCTGCGCAGACCAAGACTTCCGCTCCAGGGAATTCTCCAGCACAGAGAGTTAATCAACAAAATACTCTAGCACAATCTCATAGCCCGGCACCCTCACATGTGCGGAGCCCCGCGATATCGCATGCTCCAGCTCCTCAGAAGCAGAAGCCAGCTTCAACACTTGATGACTTCAAAATCGGATTTCCATCTAAAGGTCTTCGCAGAGCTTCTACTAGGTGGTGGGGATCTTTGGAGAAAGAGCTAGCTACGACATCGAATCTCCCGGAAGATAAGGACATCTATATAGAGTGTCCAGAGAGTTTAATTCTGGGCTCGGAAAATTTAAGTGAAGGTGGCTTTCCAACAGCCTCTAGCTTGCTTGTGAGAACCAGGAAGAAAGCATCTCTACGAGGTCGAAGCTCAATAGCACATGCTGTCACTCGTGGGTATGGTATTCACAAGCTTGGAGCAAAAGATGCAGCCACGTTGAAATTTGTGTTTGGAGATTCTTTACCTAAGCATTGGAAAGCTGCCTTTTCTGATGTGTCCTGAGGATCATCTTTGCGCCTTCTTTCTAAGCAAATGTTCCATCACTAGTGGCCGTGTGTTGTGGAGGGTTCATGATCTTGGTGCAGGCCCTTGTATACGGACAACCGAGAGTTGCCACTTGTTGATAATTCGGCAACATTTTTTTCTTTTTGGTTTACTCTGAAAGGACTTGAGGAACATTACTCATCAGCGAGTCTTCTGCCACTGAACTCCGGAACCTTTTTGGTACCAAGAAAAATCTGGTCGTCATAGTTTTAGTTGAAAGAGTTGGTGGAGTGTTGGTGGTTATGACTGTAGATTCCACAGAATTTCATTCCATCTACGATGTCGTGCTTGTATCGCCAACTTTCTGAGTCGAGGCTCTCATAATTGTGTGTCCTGCTACGATTTCAAGAAGATTCAGTGTACTAAACAGTTAAGCTATCATTTTTACACGATCTGCTCTTAACCTTCATAACACCTAGCAAATGTAAAACCGACAGAAACTTTCTCCTACTTGTGTGGTTCGTCCAGAGAGATGTAGTGTTGTCCGAGTCTAGCTGTTAGATGTAAAGCGAGTGAAGTTCAGGTATATATTTGTTTGGCATACTTGTGTGCGCTGGATGGCATTTCGTTTCAATTTATGTTCACGACCTTTCTGCACAAAGACCGTAGTTTTCATTACAGAACCATGCTACCATGTGTAACCTTGCTCCAGCGTTGACCTAGACCTCAGCCATGTGCCAAAAATCAATTAAAAGACTATCATGGTGTAAGTCCTGACCAATTTTATCAGTGTCCATTCCTAGTCACACTGGGATCACTCCATTCCAACCTCAAATATTCTAGCAAAACTGTGCTTTGGTTGATGTTTGATTTCTCAAGTGTTAGCAATATCTTTCTTCTATCTGGTTGGGTATTGCCCCTGACCCACAATTTCCTTCAGTGTTGTACATTAGACTTGATCCTTAATTTAATATTAACATATTTTGAAAAGTGTACATGTACTAGTGAGGTTCTTTAATATGAAAAAAGTGGTTTCTTTACATCTAAGAAGTTCTAAGATTGAACTCAAAAGATGATGCATGCTTTAGATTTCCTCATGAGTAAATTTATTGAATTACATCATATTGTTTTGAAATGTTACATATTTCTTTTGGTTACATGTATTACCCTAAGGTTATCACCTTATGTGGACACATTAAAAAAAATTAGATACACATAAACTCTTTGCTTGGATAAATATTAATTTAAAACATTTATCATCCCTCATATCTAATCTAGGAGTTGATTATTTGTAAACTACAACATTTGCTTTTTTGAAATAGAACCTTCTACAGTAAAGGAAATACAAAATTGTGCAATTTGTTCTTTTAAGTCTAAAACATACTTGTCTTGTTAACCTAAACCTTGTCTAATCTTTTCTTTAATAAGCACAAGGAAGGGATAGATAACACTTTGAATCAACACCTTCCTACACTAATCACTATTTATTGATTTAATAAGGTCTTGTTAAAATAATTGTTGATTTTCGAACCATGGCATATCTCCCATTTATTTATTGTTAAATAGCACACATTGTTACACATGTTATGCCTTTCGTTGCTCTTGACTTATAATCTACCTATTTTGTGTTCTTATTTTTTTATTTTTTAAGCAGCACTATGCATCTAAAGCAATTGAATATCTAATTTTTTTTGCTTACCAGTTTGATTTATACTTATAGATAATTTATGAATAGATGGGTAGATATACAATTTAATTATTTTTATTAGATTTTTTCAATCATGATAATAATTCAATCTATACTTAAATTCATACAAGTATTTTTTTTAGAATTAAAAATTAAAAATTAGAAATCTTAAATAATCAATTTAATAATAAAACCAAATATTAAATTCAAATTTAAAACATTTAGAAAACTGATATATTTTTTCATAATTTATATTAGCTAAAGATGTAAATTTAAAGCGTGTTAAAAGAAAAATCTTTGTAAATAAATAATCATGTAGAAAAAGATTATTAAGTTGTAGAAAATTTCAGTTCTGTTAAACTGTAAAAAAAACATAAAACTGATGATAAAATAAAGAAGACCTGTAAAACACACAGTATGCAAGATGGAAAAAATAACTTTGCAAAAATCAGAATATTTTTAGTAGTGTCTTCATGTTTATTAAATTCAATTGTAGAATTTCTTTTTAAGTATTTAGCAATGGTTTATAAGAAAATATAAAATTAGTAAATTAAACTTTATTGTTTTAAAAAAATTAGTAGATTAAAATTCTAAATTTTTAAAAACTATTTTCAAAATATATTAAATGATAAATTTAATAATAAAAAATATTTAAAGTCCCTCTATGTTTGTGCCACAACTTGTATTTTAAAATATTAAATGTACAAAATAAAAATTCACGATTAATAATAATTTTTTAATTGGTATATGGGTCTTAAAACATTTTTTTAGTAAAGTGTCTTTTAAACAAGTAAAATTTATGATTACATAATTATTTATAACAATTTTTAGAACCAAAAATCAATAGATATTTGCAGATATTTTAAATCTTATTGCTTTTTTAGCATGTGTAAATATGTTTTACATACCAAGTGTAAATAAATTATAAAAATAAAAATAAAACGGTCCAAACTCATTGTTTTGTATTCAAAATGGCTTATCAAGCTTTCTAAAGTTTTTGCCAATTTTTTCATGTGCATATTTAGATTATATTTTTCTTGACATCTAAAACAATCTAAATCTAATATACTTTATATTCTTAAATAAGATTATTTTGTAAACAAAAAAATTAAAATTTAAAATATAAATTTATCTTTTCATTAATCTTTATAAGTAAAATTTTTTAACAATTTAATACAAAAGAATTTCTTTTGTTATAACAATGTTTCAAAAACTTGTATTGTTTAAAGCATCTTCTTAGTTGTCTTTATGGATTTTAAAATCTTAACAACTAAATTGTGTGTTTTCTAAGTATATTAATTAAAAAACTTAAATTAAATAAAAATATGTAATTGCCATAGCTAGAATATGCAATATCATTGTTTAATAGAAGAAAAACTAGTATAAGTGGAAGTAGATTTAACTAAAAACGAATAAGATATATCATTGGCTTATTAATAATAAAATATAATAGTGAAACAATGATTGAAATATTAATTATGTCTAAATATATATATATATATATATATATATATAATCAAATTCAATTAATATGTTATAACATAAATATCAAATTTAGTTTTTTCTATTTTTATTTTGAATATATGTGTGTGTGTATATATATATATATATATATATATAGAGCAATGAAAAGGATCATTACTTGAATTTTTTTTAATGATTGATATGTTTAAATAATCTTTATAATAAAATTTGTTTATCTGGGATATTGCCTTTATTATGTCATACACATCACTTGTAAATATTTATCGGAACAATGATAAGCAATTTTTGATTTCGCTGATCTGTTATACAATAGTAATTTTGGATATATTTCAAATATTATGAGTATATAAAATCACCAAGAATAAACTTGAACTGCTTTGTTAAGAATAAAGTAGTTAATGGCTGTACACAGATGGAATATTTGCATTGATTAAAAAGATATTTGTTTATTTAAAATATAAATATACACTTAATGATGATATTTAAAATTAACACCTAAAAAAAATCTTTAAATAAATAACATATACTAATAGATTGAAAATTAGTTTTGAGTTGATGTTTTACTAATCTGAAATGTGAAAAAAAAAAAAAAAAAAAAAAAAAAAAACACAACACAACAACAACAACAACAACAAAACAAACAAACAAACAAAACAAAACAAAAAGAATCATTTTAAATTGTCATAAAGATTAATATTTTAAACTATATCCATTTGTGTTCTTATATTATTTTTGTACCATAATGCTAAACACCATTAATTTTAGACTTCATACAGGAATCTTATATATATATATATATATATGTATGTATGTATGGATATATATATACACACATATATTTTCCAGCATTAAATTTTGGTATGTATACAAATTTAAATATTTTATTAAAAAACATAAATAAAATAATATTTCTATAGTTATATTATATTTAAAATTTATTTTATCAACTGATAAAGAATATTGAGAAATTTTGTTAGAAAATATTTTGTAAATATTATTCTTTAAATTTAGTGACAAAGACAATGAATTACAAAATCAAAAATCCATTAGTTTCTATTGACTAGAATAAACACGAGTAAGTTTAATAGAATATAATTCATAGATCATATTATAAACCAGAAATATTATAGCTAATTTATAATTTTTAAAATTTCTTATTTTTCTATTTTCTATTTTTAAAGTAAGTTGTATCAAATGAGAATAATTTATTTACTAACCTAATTTTCTATATCTATTAAATTAAAAAAATTACATAAAGTACATCTAAATTATAATTTATATTATATTTTAATAGGTCTAATAATAGAATATTATACAACTTTATTTTATCACAAAATTATAGAAGTCTACACAATGCTATTATTTTCTACAAATTTAAAATAGTCTTATAGAGCCAAAAGATTTAACATCAAAAACATTACTGAATACAAATTTTTATGTATAGTATAAAAATAAATAAATAAATAAATATTTAAGAAATTATATATTTTTTTGTTAAATTTTTTTTTTTACCATACCATCATTGTTAAATTATGTTAGAAGTTTCTTTTGTATTTTTATAAAAAAAATTACATGTTTTAATTTTTAAAATACTACTTATCTTGGCAACCATGCAACCTACTTATTAGCTACCATATGTTGAAACAAAGGAAAGGCGATGATCACTCTTGTCAACACCTTTCTTAAGTTATAGTCTTAGTTAAAGATTCTTTAGTTTCTTTTTATTTGGAAATAAAAATAGCCATTTTAGTTCTTTTTTATCACATAATTATTTCTTCTTTCTTTATTAACTATTATTTTCAGTGATACATGAGTATATTTTTTCTTCATAGTTCTATTATGATTTATATATATCTATACTTTTAAATTGAAGGAAGTAGAGAATGTTAATAAGTTACCTAAAGAAACAAAGATTATTTTTTGAAAAGAAAAAAATAATATTGATGTTAATGAGTACATCAACAATTACTGAATAAAAATAGGATTCTATAACTTTATGTATATCAAAAATATCTACTTAGATTATAAAAGTGATAAAATAAAGTTTTCAAAGTGTGCTACATGTGTAATGTGAGATATTTTTTATTCCAAAGTATTTTCTAATTTTTAAAGAATGAATTAAAAAAAAGATACCAAACTAAATTTATAAGAAGTCATAATGAAGATATTTTAAAATCATTATTAAATCTAAAAAAACATGTTAAAATTGGAAATGCTTAGACAAGAATAAAACATTGACATGAACAATATTAGGACACTATGACGCTTTATAGAGGCTGTCTCAACACAAAATGATT